CGTAGAGAGACATCAAATAGATAATGTTGCTAATAATATTTTGTATTTAATTTAATTTTAAAATAAGTACCTTATTCTTACATCATTGTCCATTTTTGGACAGTATATGATTCCCCCCCTTGGATACAGTCACCATCGTTTTCCCACCACCAAAGCACCCATAGCCCCAAAAGAAAAGTAATCATAACAAGACTACACAATCTAGGGGCCTAGTCTTAACACAGGGATGAGTGGAGCTAATCAGGAAATTAGATGTTGGATATTTATAGAATGTCAAGAATTGCCTGTGACCTCTCAAGTTCAAATATTTCCTTAACTTATATTGTCAATATCCAACTATGTCACAGAGCTCTACGATTTTGCACATAGAACATCTGTATTCTCCCCATGTATCATTTAGTCACCTTTCTGAAACTAAGTATACATTACTAGTGCAAGTCCGTCTCCAGGCTAAACTTATAGCTAGCTCTTTATGAGCATGCTACTGACTCCTTTATTCTTCTAGTCACCAAAGCCTGCCCATCCCCCACTCATAATTTAACAGTAATCGTGTCCTGTTCTATTTTCCTCCCAAGTCTCTCTGTTTTCACTCTCCCCTATAAATGCCTTAGCTGGACACATACAGCCCCATCTTGATTACGTGGCAGCCCTTGGCTCCACCCATTTGCTCACTGTTCGGTGTAGTATACATGTTCTGTCTGTTCACACGGATACTGTCTGTCCATTCTCAATGTTACTGCTACAATAATCACCATCTGTAAACACCATTTTTATTGTCTTGCTTCTATTCAAATACATCTGATACTCTCTATTTCCTAGTTGACACTCTTGTGCTTCATAATCTCTCCCAAGCACATCCATTGATTTGCAGCCTTCTTTTAATCAAATATTATTTCCATTTTCAACCAGCACACAGTATCCTATTTTTAGTTTATTATTATTCTCAGATAAACAAATTATAACCACTTCATTTCTTCAACCTTGCCAAGTTCATTATGCCTTGAATGCTCTCCTCATTGTTATATCCAAATCCTGCCAGCATAACATGTTGCCCTCAAGCACCATGTCTCTTAGAAAATGCCACTAACTTTCCTAGACTTCATTAATCTCTCTCATTCTTTCTTCAAAAACTTGTAATAGACATAGTCTGTATAGCATGAATTACTACTTACTAGGTATGAGGTAGTATTGGCTGTTGTTTCACAAGATAAGTCTTTTTTCCCCCAATAGAGATAACACTTCTGGAGCCAAGAGTCACTATTTCTTCTCTGATGTTCCCAGCATCTAGCCAGCAAATCCAAAACAGGTGTTCAGTGAATACCTGATGGCTGATTGCAGAATGACTGATCTACCCCCTATAGCAAATGACAGTTTAGTATCTATCATTTTTTTATCCTATATTGGGATGGTATAATTATATTTTCCTAGTATTAATAAAGCATAAATTAAATATAGCAAATTTATAATTATAATCATATTAATAGGAATAGATATATAATCTTAAAAATGGATCATGCCATTATAATAAAGTACAAGTATCAAATTAACTATAATGATAATATGCCACTGTATTCAATTTTCACAAGCAGTCATTGAGTGCTTCCCCTGTGCCTGGCACTAGAGGTTCAATATAGACAAAAAGAAGCAATATCTCTACCCACATGGAATTTACAGTGAGATGAGGGAGACTGGCTTTAAACAAAATTTAATTACAATAAAGCCAGAAGTAGAAAAGAGAGAGGTTTCCCACAATGACCATGTGTAACTTCTGTGTCTTACCAAGTATGGGGGGTCAGAAAAGACTGGAGAGGGGAATTTGTATGGAGGAGATCCTCTCAATATTTACCTGCTCTCCCAGTGATGCCCCACTGTGAAGGAAGAGTTCAGAAGCTACTAAATGCCACCCCCTGCAGAAAGAGTGACAGCAACAATCCAGTCCATCCCAAGACTTTCAGAAGCAACAGAGACATATACAGAATGGGAAGCAGATGTGGGTGGACAAGGTTGCAGTAGGAACGGTAAATTCTGAGAGGCCACGCCAGAAACTAAATTCAGTCACAGCAAAGTGAAAGGTGTAGTCGAAAAAAGATTTGCAGAAAATTATGTGGAGAATTTTAATGTATCAATTTAAATATATTAAACCAAATCCTACCCTCAGGGACATACACTGGAATTCCCTTTGCTTGAGGAAGAAACTTGAAGAATTTAATGGGAAAAAAGTCCATATTTTATACCTACTAATGGAGAAGGTAGCTTTGATAGTTTCCTAACATCCATCTAAATACTTAAATGTTCCTCACCACCCTGCCTCATCACAGATGAGAATTGTATGAGTTGCACGCTTATCATTTCTGACAATGGGAACAAACTGTGAAACACCACTATCTGAAATGCAAAATGTGATCATACATTTTTATGTATAAAATTATGTATAAAACTTTTTATGTATAAAAATTATTTTTCATACATTTGAAAAATAATTTTTATCTACTCAATCCTTCTTCTATAAAGTTCCTTCTATTTCAGATGTCCATGCAAAACACCTCACTGTGTCAAGGTCCTTCCCAAATGCCACCTGCCCCTGCCCCTGCCCCCACCTTTGCAGGCTCAGGTATTTCCCATGTTCTCTTTCTTCTTTTACCCCATTTACAGCCATTGGTGTAAAATCCATAACCCATAAATTACTGTTATTCTAGCCACTGCCTCTACTGAATAATTTTGGACCCTTTAAGCAAACAAACTCTGAAGAACATTTAAAGTAGAAAGGTAGTTACGCCATAAATATTTGAATAAATGATAGATATCCTAAATATTTGAATGAAATAGATGATATAAAATTCACAAGATAAAATACATTTATCCTACAAATATCCTTGTTATACTCCAGAATATTGCACTATGCATAAAGATAAGCATATATAATTCAAAATTTTGTCACTTTCATAGGTAAATATCACAGAATCTTTTTTTTTTAAGATTGATTTATTTATGCATACAATGGCAGGGGTGTAGGCCAGAGGTGCAGGGTGGGTGAGAGAATTACAAGAGACAGAGTGGGGAGCAGAACAGGCAGACTGACTGAAATCCACTGCTAAGGGGAGCAGCAGGAGAAACAGGAGAGGTCTGCTGCGCCACATGGGTCAGCTCCTTGGCGGAGATCAAACTCGTGCTGCAGTGGCTGCTGATAGCTTGACAGTGCTGAGACTTAACCTCTTGAGTCACCAGGGAGGCCCAAACATCACAGAATCTTAGAGGCAGAATGTTCTTGGTGATCATGTATTCTAACCTCATTTTACTTGGAAGATATGGGAATCAAAATAATACACATGTGTCATGAATACCAATCTTTTTAAATTGTTAAATTCTTTTTTATTGAGTTAAAGTTGGTTTACAACATTATATATGTTTTAGTGGTACTGGTCACACCTTTTCAAATGTATGTTACCACATCACACCCATCATCAAGGCACCATTAGTTGTCTGCCACAGTCCATTGGGCCCCTCTCCCCTTGTGCTACCCTCCCCCTCTGGTAACCTCAGTTCTACATTCAGATTTCAAGAATTTGCTTTGTTTTGGTTTTGTCTGTTTCTGTCTGTTTGATTTTTATATTCCCTATAGGAGTGAAATTATCCAGTATTTGTCTTTCTCCTGATTTATTTCATGTAGCATATTTCCCTACAGGTCCATCCATGTTGTTGCAAGTGGCAGGATTTCACCTTTTTTGTAGTCAAGTAGTTTTCTGTTGTGTGTGTGTACCACAACTTCTTTATCTACTCATCTGTTATCAGACACTTTTATTAGACACTATTTCAACAACAGTGTAAGAGGGTTCCATTGTCGCCACACCCTGGCCAACGCTTCTTTTCGGTCTTTCAATGATCCCCAAACTTACGGAAAATATAAAATGTTTTGTTGCCCACCAGGTATTGCTCTCTTACCAGCCAGAGTTCAGGCTTCCTTATGAACAATAATAAGACCTTCCCTTGAAAATAAAGAACCCTAAGACTAATAAAATAAGAAGCAACTAAAAGTTACTAAATTTTTCAAAGGTTACTAGGACTTAAAAGGGATTTGTATTTATAGAATACCAAGGCACTTCATGAAGTTTCTAATGTTTTCTGAAAACTCTTCTATAGTGCTTTTTTATGGGGGGGCAGGCAGTGAAGGGATGATTACTGAACTCCTTTCCAAAAGCAGCAGAATGGTCAATGAATTGGTGGGTATTGGTGCCCAAAGGTGCACGATGCCAAACAGAATCACAGCAGTGTGGCAGCAAATGGGGAGGCATTTCATCCTCATATTCTTCCACCAAAAAATTGTCCTGATTTGTTTTTTCATATACCATGTAAATATACAGATGTAAAATGATTATTTGGGTTGAGGGAGCTTATCTGCATTTAAAAATGGTTATTTCAGTGGCAGCAACTATCAGATAGCTGTTTCTTTAATACATTTGAAATGCAAATCGAATGGCAAAATTCTTCATGTCAACAACTACGCAGAGGGAAATTAGTATATTACAGTATTTAATTAAATATGTTCAACCTTATATTAATTACGTATACATAATGTGTATTTAGAAATATGTATAAATATATACACATATGTATTATTTATTTTTGTGTATGTATTTAAACACAAATAGCATGCGTATGCATTACATGATGTGGCAGCGTATGGCTCAGCAGACTTCTTTGTGGTTTTAAGTCTGTATCAACTACAGAGTTTGATGCAAAGCTCAGTGAGCAAAAGGAACTTCTTGTTAGCCCAATATGTTCCCTTTAGGGCTAGAAATGCTCTTCTCAGTGGCACCGCTTTCTGCCTTCTAGTCCTCCCATCCATCATCAGTATCTGGGAGAAGAGAGTTTTCTTCCTTACCATACACCAGTTCACCTGCCTATTAGCCAGCCCCTTGTGCCATTCACCAGGACAAAAACATGCTCATTTTAATGCTGCAGACTGAATTTGATATTCTGTTCTATTTTATTTTGCTTTTCAGATTATATATTCTGTGAGTCCTGATCAAGTGATACAAATGTGCTGCAATGGTGACATAAATTATTGACTGGGCCTGGAAAAATAGCTGAAACACCATCTTTTCTCCTCTTATGGTGCTTCTGTTTCAACGGTCTGAGGGAAGTATATACAACATGAGTTTTATCATGAAGCTTCACAGACACTTTCAAAGGACAGTCATTCTGCTTGCCACGTTTTGCATGGTGAGCATTATCATTTCTGCCTATTACCTGTACAGTGCCTATAAGCAGGAAAATGAACTCTCTGAGATGGCATCAGAAGTGGACTGTGGCGACTTCCAACACCTCCCTCACAGGCTGATGGAAATGAAGGCCACAAAGCTTTCTGATGCCTCAAGGACAGACGCCACGGTCCTGGTGTTTGTGGAGAGCCAGTACTCATCACTTGGCCAAGACATCATTATGGTTCTAGAATCAAGTAGATTCCAGTACCACATTGAAATTGCTCCTGGAAAGGGGGATCTCCCAGCACTTACAGAAAAAATGAAAGGCAAATATGTTCTCATAATTTACGAGAATATTTTAAAGTATATTAACATGGACTCCTGGAATCGAAGCCTTCTTGATAAATACTGTGTAGAATATGGCGTGGGTGTCATTGGATTCCACAAATCTAATGAGAAGAGTCTACAGAGCTTTCAGTTAAAAGGTTTCCCTTTTTCTATATATGGAAACCTTGCAGTAAAAGATTGCTGTATTAATCCCCATTCTCCATTGCTTCACATGACCAAATCTTCTAAGCTTGAAAAAGGTTCTTTACCCGGAGCTGACTGGACAGTATTCCACATTAATCACTCAGCCTACCAACCAGTAATATTTGCCAAAGTAAAGACCCCAGAAAACCTTTCTCCTCCTATCTCTAAAGGTGCTTTTCATGCCACTGTCATACATGACCTGGGGCTTCATGATGGAATTCAAAGAGTTTTTTTTGGCAACAACTTGAACTTTTGGCTGCACAAGCTCATCTTCATAGATGCTGTCTCCTTCTTGTCAGGAAAGAGGCTCACATTATCCTTGGACAGGTACATTCTTGTGGATATTGATGACATCTTCGTGGGAAAGGAAGGAACAAGAATGAACACCAATGATGTTAAGGTAAGCTCTGTTATCTCACAGTTTCAGTTTAATCCATTTCTTAGTAGGGCAAACAACCATCTGCATTTGTCCAGGAATAAGGCAGTACCCGGAACATGGAACTTTTATTGAGAAAGTCTTAGGAACACTGGAATAGCTGTCCATCCTATGTATCAGCAATAGAACTAAGTTGAAAACATATTTCTTTCTGAATCAATAATAAAGATTGTATTAAAGGATTGAGTGTGCAAGGATCCAGAAATTGTTTGTGTTTTCAAACTAAAGAGTAAAAATCATTCTAGAATTTCTCTAGCTTAGAAAACTGTTACTAATCTAAGAAGACTTCAGTCCACTTAAATATGAAATTAAAGTAATTTAATGAAATAAATATTCCCAGAAATTTTCAAGTGAAACACATTCATATCTTTTTGGAAGTTAAATGTTTAACTCATTTTCTTTTATATTTGTTTGACACTCAGAAAATTAACACTACTAAATATGGAGAGCTGTGAATAGACAAGCACACTTACTAACATGTAAACATAAAGATTTACATTAACTTTTTCAAATTATTGACCATTTCTGGTATACAGATAAAGCCTATATGCTGTATTTAAAATGCATTAGATTTCTTCTTGTAAAACTTTTGTCCTTAGATAGTAGTTATTTGAAGATAGTTACTATTGTAATGATTGTATTACATAAGCAACTGGTTATTTAATATTAATGAAATTTAAAACTTAAATAATCTTGTTATCTTAGTTTTCCATCCAAAATGCCATGGGAGTCTGTCTCTGTTTTACTATATGATGATTTCTTATGAAAGTGAGAGGAGAGAATTCTGATACTTAATTTTTATTCTGTACAGCTTTGACCTTTTGGTAAAATATGAAGAACTAAATCAGATGGAAAAAATATCTTGAAAGTGCATTCTGTTCTCCAGACACTAAGCATCTTGCAAATCTGAAAATAAAAAAAACCCTCCATATTCTTGGAGATATTTTACTCTTTCTTTTAACATGATAGAAATTAATAAAAAGGTTGTGCTTTAGTTTTCACTGTCTTTCAAAATATAGTTTTGAAAATAGAGCTAAATTAACACCACACTGGTAATTTAAACATTTATTATATGCTTGAAAATTACAAACAGTACATAGTTCTCTTTCCAATTTTTCTATTTCAAAATATTGTCATAAAAATATTTTAAGATTTTATTTCTAAAATAAAATGCTCTAAAACTGCCAAAAGCATGTTATTATGCCTATAAAAGATAAGTTAGACTAACCTCTGAGTTTTTGCAAACCGCTACTATATCCTTATACATAGTTTATTTTTAATTTTTCAAAATACAAAATGCCTTTTATACTCTTAAAGTTAAGCCAATTTAAGGCATATAAAACAGAGTTTTAATGAGCAAATTCAATAAGAATTTAGCATGTGTAAAATATTTTATGAAATTGCACATTTAGATTAGGAATATATTTTCTAACTAACCTAAGGGCTTAAAAATAAACATGGTTTGAATTACAATGGGCTTTAAAGCCACCAAATTGTATCTGGTATTGTGGCTCAAAACACTAATTCACTGTAGTCAATTTCCATTCCTACATGCACTCATTCTTTCACTGATTCATGCTTGTAACTCATTATTCAATAGGTAGTATATGTGGAGCTTTCTTGGTAATATGCAGATAGATTCATAATACATGATTTTATTCATTGTGAACAAAACAGCTAGAGAGCAGGCAAGCACAGTTCTCCAAGCCTAGGAAGCACATAGTTGATGATTTTGCTGAGCATCTTTTCTGTTTAGTTTTTGAATGGTTGGTCATATCTCATGCCTAGACAGAGGCAGACACTGGGAGTAGACAGATAAATAAAGCAAAGTTCCCCTCTTAATGTGATTACTGCCTTGTGGTAGGAGGGGGCAAGGAGTGGGTAGGTGGAAGAAATAAATAGGTAGACAGCTCACAGTGCGGTAAGTACAAGGGTAAAGGCATCTACACGGTTTCATCTAAGTAATGCTGCAGGAAATACTGCTGTGTGCCAGAAACTACCGAGTCCTATTTAGCAGGACAGAACTTTAAGATAGGACTTGAGTGATACAATGATTTAGGAGATTGTGGCAGTCATATGTAGACAAAAGAAGGCAATTTCTGAAACCAGGAAATTAGAATAAGAAGGAAGTAGGAAGGACTAAGAAGTATTTAGGACGTACAATTGAACAACGAATAACTGGATTAATGCAAATGAAAGAGAATGTAATCAAGGATGACATTTTAAGATTTTTCTGCAGCAGTTAATAATAGTTGGTCATTCCAACAACAGTGAAAGAGGAGAGGGCAAGAGGATCACAAAGGTCAGGAGAGGTCATACTGAAAATGTCAGTTTTGAGGTACATCTGGGACATGTAGGTGGAGATGTTTAACAGGGAATGGTTCACTAGGAATTCTGGGTAGCAAGAATGTATTTTGAGGTCATCGTTCTATACAAGGAATGATATGAAGCACCTAAGTATGTGAGATCACCAGCAGAAGGGTTTGTAGAGTGATAAGGGAAGGTGACGGAGTATAAAATCTTGATAGAAACTGTTTGTCAGAAAACATGTAGAGAGATATGAACAAGAGTTCAAAAGAAAAATCCAAGACCAGGAAACTCTAATGTCGTATTAAACGTGGGAGTAAAGAGCTTGGGGAGGGGATGATCTGCAGAATTAAATCCACCAGCGGGGTACATTCCACTAATGACTGGCAGGTCTTCTTTGGAAAAAGAAGGGCAATGGAAAGATCTTGCAAATCCTTCTGAATGGCGTGATAGAGGTAGGGGCATGACTGCAGTAAATTTAGGAGCATCTTAGGGGGTTAAGGCATGGAGGAGGAGAGAGTGGAGTACTCAACCGAGAAATTTTGATATGAAAGAGAAAGACGTAACTACCTAGAGGGAGGACTGGAGTGTGAGTGGGTGGGGTTAGGCCCAGGCAGTCTAGTATGATGTACTCCCTAACCAACTAGGGTGAGGAAGGGATATTTTCCTGTGAAGAAAGATCAAATAGCATTCAGTCTACGCCAAGATCAATGATTTGGTGATTAATATTTCATTATCAATAGAAATATTTTAATTGAGTTCTCTCTTTAAATCATGTGTGAATAAATACCTCTCTTTATTTGAAATATTAAAAATATTGGAAAAATCTGAAAATGAGAAATTGAAGTTATAAAGAATGTTACCTGAGAAATAGGAGAACAGTGAGTAGCACATGCATTCGAAACTACTGCATTAAATACCTCAAAAGAGCTATTTTTTTTCCTTATGTGGAACAGAAAAAGTATTTAATCAAAATATTAGAGTAAGTGAGGCAATATCAGTTTTCATCTACTTGGCTGCTAAATAACATGAGCACCTTTCAAGGAGCCTCAGAGCTACCAAAGAAGCTGTGACACAGCATAAAATATGACTTTTCACGAAGAAGACAAAAATAATAACCAAGCTAAGCTGTTATCCTCATTAGTTGAAGAGTTTATAAGCTATAAGTCATAGTTCTTAAAGAACGAAAGAACATAATTTAGAGAATTAAAATATTCTTCAAAAGTGGCGGTCCTACAGTTCTGTTGAAGTCAGAAATGGTGTGGGTGTGTGTGGGTTTGTGTGTTGAGCTATATGAACAAGACTTGTCTAAAACAGACCATGAAATCCTTCTGTGATGTTAGAAAATTCAAGTTCTTTGTGTTCTGGGATGTGCCTTCAAACTTCCTGAGACTAAGCCTACAGAAAGTTTCTGGAGCAGGAATGTGCTCTATACATAAATGTTTTTACCATTAAAACATTTTAAAGTTAGACTTCCAGCATGAGTGGATGAATATTATTAACTCAAGTTCTCCTTTAGGAGTATTAATTCACTCTTGGCCTAAAATCCACTAGACTTACACTGCTTCATGTAACACATCACCCCAAGACAGATGGGAAACTAACAGGGAGGAGACGCTAGCATAGGTGGTCCTTCAGGGTTTTACTGAATTCTCTGAGTTAGACTCTGGACAAAAGACCTCATATTCTCTTTCCCCTATGCTCCTCTCTTCTCTGCAAAGTGTCTGCAAAGAGACACTTCTTTTTTCTAACTTGAACAAAATTTCTAACATTCATGAGAAAATGAAGGGCCATATCTGCGCATTTACACAGGTGCTTGTCCTATGAAAGCCTCCATTCTCCTTCCCTCGTCTCACGACCTCAGACCATTCTAGCTTTTCCTGACTTTACAGTCCCTCGTATGGCTGTTTGTGGATTACTCCTTCAAAAATCCACACTTTTTAAGTGGCCTCACAGATGGGGCAGTTCTTAAATCTTTAATACAATGTCATGAGTGATATATTATTGTTTTCCTCTCTATCGAACCTTACAAGAGGCCTAGGGAAAAGAAAACACTGGAAATCAAAGTAGGTAGCCATAAAGCCCTGAGAAATCAGTGGCGTGGGGCTCAGAAGATAGACGTGGCTGACTTCTCAGGGTCTTAGGGGCTGACCAGGGAGCTGCAGGCAGAGCCTACACATGAGCACTCTGGGCCTGACCTCTTCTCCGAAGGATATTCAGAGCCCCGGCCAAGGGAATATCAGAGGTGTCATAAAATCACTGAAATAGTACTGAACATACCAAATGTTTGGGTGGGGGAATACTGCAATCAATTATTCTGTCATGAGTAAAAATACAAAGTAAAAATTTCTCCAAATAGTTCACCATTTACATTGCTTTGAATGGACGTCAAGGCCCTTACAAAGCACTAATCCTTTTTAACCCCCTAAACCCATATTTCTCTAAATTCTTTACATTATCTCTGTTTATTATCTTTTATTTTCTGATTCCCATTTGATTTCTTTTCAATTTAATTTTTTTAATGGGGGTAACATTGGTTTACAACACCCAGTATATGATTAGAGGTTTAGGATCACCCCCACCTTCAGAAGCTATTATCATACTACATCCACCACCAAGGCACCCACAATCTTCCACCACTGTCCATTGTGCTCCCT